TAAACGTTTAAATTATTTATATATTAATTAATAATATACTATTATATAGCTAATAAGTAAGTGTTAAGGCTATTTAACGCTTAGCTAAAGTAAAGAGGAGATAATTATAAGGGAATTAGAGAATCTTACTTACTTATAATATAATTAATAATATTATGTGAAACAGGGGCTTTAAGATTATATCTCTTATATCTCGTATAACTAGAAAATAAGATAAGCTTTAGTTATTATAGTATAGCTACCCCTACTTTAGTATTACGAACGTTACTATACGAGACGCGGGAAGCTAGGCCGCACTAGTAAGGGTAGGCATAGCTGCTAACTAATAAGAATATTAGGTTATATAATAGCTTATTAGATTATATAAATAATCTAATAAGACGAGATTATTAGAATTATTAAGCGATTCAAATAATCTAGAACTATAATAAAGAGATAAAATTATAAAAGAGAGAATTATATACGCTCTTTTTATAAGTACGCTTATTATTAGGGTTATTTACTCGTGGTTAAGGGTTTACCCTTATTTAATTAAGCGTACGTAATTTGTACCCGTAATAAGTAACCCATTCTAACAGTTCCGGCTCAACTGGATCTGCGGGGCCATTTGGCATGATGCAAATTACTAGGTACCTAGTAGTTGTGATGACCACCATGACACTCCGTACTTGCAGGAGAATTTCTGGAAGCTGATCTAGTATGGCAATTTCCAAGCGTATCCGAATCATATATGGAGCACCGACAACAATAGCCATGTCAAATTCCGTAAAATGGGTTTGCTACAAGTACATATACCTAGGAGCTTTGTATGCCGTCCTATGTTTGTATACCTATTGGTGAGTCAGTATATCGTGTCGAGAGAAGTACGTCGCAAAGGAAAGCAGTGTCACCGAAGGTCGTAATTTCGAAGCGAGGCCAACAGTTCAACGTTTCACCCAGCATAGTCTTCTATTCTTGAGATGGTCGTCACAATATATAACTGTGTGACTAGCCCATTGCTTGTGAACTTGAAAGGTTAGGTTTGGCACTACCTACCGATATTAGAAACGATCTAGGGCTCCTTTGGTCCGAGCCACAATAGCTCCTTACTCAATCGGTCACCCGGTGTGTCGGAATCGGGACCAAAATATTTGAGGGCTATTGGAAGGTTTGCTGGAATTAAGAGAACCCTTATTTACTAGAGCTGCTTTCCATTTATCTGCAGAACTTTTTTTGTTTCTTTCTTGAAGTCTCTGGCCATGGTCCTGGTGATTGAAGGGAGCTTGCATGTAACGGAACTAGGCATCCGCTAACTGGAAAAACGCATCTGATAGGGCCCTGTCGACTTGGGTGACAATTTTACAGATAAAAGAAGCCCTTGACCCTAGGGGCCATATTAGTCTAAAAAGAAACTAGGCATCGAGAAATGTGAGTTTGTTTAGGCACATCTGGCTAACACGACTGCTGTTGGGGGACTGAAATGGGAAATTGTAGAGCCTTAACAATATGTCAACTGTATCGGCTTGGGGCTGCTAACACATTCAATGATCTTCCGCAGTCTTCTGTTCCATGTTGTTTGAGCGCTACGCGTCATATCCTGGGATGCATTCTGAACCGAAATTGTTTGCTTATCATTGCTGCAGAACCCGAGGAGCTTTTGGCTCAAAATAGCTAAGGAATGGGGTCCTTTATGAGCTAGACGATATGTTTGTTGGTCTCTAAAATTACATAAGACCGTTTGTGATTGCTCTTCTCTCATTCCTTTTGGATATAGCCGCAGCCATACTGAAAGCTGCTTTCCTGAGATAGCCCGAGTCCAAAACCCTCGAAGGCAAAAGTTGCTATTAAATTCCAGCCTGTATAAGTGAACCTGATCTAGCCTGCTAGCTGTGATAACCCAAATAGTAATTCCTAGTCGCAGCAATCGGTTAGAATTGCTGCGAAGGAAATCATAATATTAGGAGAGGAGATTATGTAGTTTTCGGTAACCGAACTCATCGAACTGGTAGTTATGTGCTTCTCGGCGTACAACGTTTCTTCTCAGACAGGTTTTGAAGCCTGTATTTGTGGTGTTCGTACTTCTTTAGTGTTGTGTGCTTGGCTCTTTAAGCCACTCACTAAACTTCTATATATACTTCTCGAGGCTCAGGTATGGTCTAGGGGTTATACTCTAGCCCTCGACATACATGTACCAAGTTTGGGAGATACAAGAAAATAACATTGACACAGGCACGAAGAATGGGTCATTAAACAGAGGATCCAAAATCTTTTGGCCGAGAAGGTATCCAGTTAGACCAGATCCGTGCTGTGGTCAGAAGAGATATCTGCCACGTCAGTCTAGATCTTCGCCATGATGTCCCAACAAGGGAAGTAAACAAGTCGAGATCATATCCCTACAGGAAGACGGCAAAATACACATAGAATCCTTGACGCCGCTATACCATTTATCATCAAATATCTAGCAGTTTAACTGTAAGGATTTCATGAGAGGGTGGCATGGTATTAAACAAGAGCTTACCTACTTAGGTACTACTTACTGCTTACGTGGGCACAAAGATCCGGAAGGAACATGAAGGCACCAAACACTGTCGCTAACAGCCCAGTTATTAGATATGCTTGAGTGGGGTCTCAGTGACTAAAGCTCTAGTAACTATCAACACTCCTGTGGTCTGTCACAAACGCGAGATACTTTTGAGGGACAAAGCCTGAGCTCGTGCAAGACCCTTGCGCAGAACTTATCAGAGTCATACACGTCACCGAAAACCGTTCCTTCGTCAGGGTAATTAAAATGAAACATTATCTTAACTATGTATAAACGGGGGAATAGTTCAGCGGTTCCCATATCCGCTTTGCATACAGAATTTCGAGGACTGGGCTGGAATATATTGGAAGCTGCTGGAAGTCCGCAGCCACTGGCAATGGGGTGGACGAAGTCGTCTGCCTCGGCCTCCAGAATTGGCCCGCTGGCCCTATCATCAAAGGAGGTCGAAGAAGACACCGCCAAGGCCACTGGAGACTGGAAAGCTTTGCGCGCGACTGTCCATCTTAGAATTTGGAACCGTTAGGCTACTGCGTCTTCCGTTTCTCTTCCTCCTCTCCGATTATTTAACTTGAGCTTTGCTCACGTAGCGTTCACGTAGGCATGGAAGCCACAACACGTACTACACGTTCATGCTTCTCTGAAGTAAATATATAGTTGTATGATCAAAGCGAATTCCAGATTCTTCTACAAATGGAAGCTCTGCCACTTTCGATATAACCTTCATCTGCAGTCATAATCCCTTTACCATCCAAATCTATTCTTCTGCCACTGTCGAGATCAATTTCCCAACTACGCTTAAATTTGTCGTTATTTCCCCAGTACAGCTTCCCCACAAGATATATTAACCCAAACAGTGGCAAAAGAATGTATGCGTCGACAAAATTGCCAGCATTGAAGGGTGACAGTGTCGTCCATCCTTGAACAAGGGCGAGGAATACGTTGGCAACCAAGCCAAAATATGCGACGAATGGGTAAAACATGCTTTTGAAAGAAATTTCGTCCAAGCTTCGATTCTGAGAAGTCCAAGCCCGCCGAAAGCGAATATGAATAAAGCTGATACTACCCCATACCAGAAAGGTGCTGACACCTGAAAGGTTAACAATGTATCCATACGCCTTGGACGCGCCAGTAGAAACGTTCATCATGGATATAGAGCCAACAGCATTAGTGAGCACAACTGCCCAGACAGGCACTCCCTTTTTACTGGTCCAACCAATAAACCTCGGTGCCTTACCAGACTGAGCCATGTATAAAATGGTGCGCGATCCGATATAAATTGACGAGTTGATGGCTGACAAACAGGTGATTAGGATGAAAGCGTTGATAAGGTGGACGCCTGGTGCAACACGGTAAGTATGGTATTATCATTGGGTCATCGTGAGAGTAGTTTCTAGGTTAGCTTACCTCCATTCCATCCCGCAGTTTGAATTGCGATTGTCATGGGACTCTGCAGTGCCTTGGCGCCGCCGTTGACAAGGCCATCTGCATTGGCGGGACAAGTTATGCCAAAGAATAGTGCTGATCCCAAGTAAACGAAGATGATTCTCCAAAACACCTGACGGATCGCTTGTGGGACAGCCACACCAGGGTTTCTTGTTTCCGTTGCGGCAACAGCAACGGATTCTATACCAGCATAGAACGTAGAGCAGAAGACAAAGACGACCGCTACGCCTCGAAATCCGTTTCCATTGAAGGCTCCAGGGTCGTGCCAATATCTAAATCCCAGTGAATCCGTTTGACCAACCAAACCGCCCGCGGCGTACACGATAGAGAAGATGAAGTACGCAGTCAGGCCCAAGATCTTAAACAGCGCCAACCAGAATTCGGCTTCGCCAAAAGCTTCCACGCCCAAAAGCTGAAAGGCAGTGAAAAGGAACCAAAGAATGAGGAAGAAACCCCACAACGGGACTTGCGGAGCCCAGTATGTGAGGATGCTGCAAATGACGTTGTATTCGTTGGCCAGCACGGCAGCCCAGATGATGAAGTAATTCCACCCCACAGCAACGGAGAAAGACTTGTCAACCATGCGCTCGGCCAGCGAAACAAATGAGCCTCCTCCTGGAAACAGCGTTGTCACCTCTCCGAGGGATTGCATGATTGCAAAGGCAATGACGCCTGTGAGGCGCGGAGCCGGTTAGCCGGGACCAACTCGCTCGTAATTGTCATACCCAGCACGGAGTAATATCAACACGTTACACGGACAGGTGAGATTCGGACGCAGGTCCAAGAAACAACGTACCAATAACCCCAAAGCCAATAATTAAAGACGCTGGGCCACCGTTGTTCAGAGCGCCACCCGCGCCCACCAACAAACCTGGGCCAATGATGCCAGCCAGGGCCATCATTGACAAGTGCCTGTTTTTAAGACCTCTTTTGACTCCAGAGTCGGGGTCAATAAGGCTGGCGCCACTAGAATCATGAGGCGAACCATATGTGCTGAAGCGCGGGTTTGCTACCTCATCGTCAAGATTATCGGCCGAGCTGTCTCCCGGATGCGGCTCGGCATGGCTCTTTTCGGTGGACTTGGCCTTCCGAAACATGGCTGGCTTGTCCTTGGCCGGCGCCCGTCGCCCAGGCGGGTCGACTGGGCTTGACCCTGGTATAGGAGCCAGACACTTGAGAGGAGGCTGGAAAAGGAGCACAGATAATATTCCTGGCAGGTGAAGATGATGGGACGGGAGAAAGACGGATGAGGGGAGGGACAGAAGAGTAAAAGGGAAGAAAGGAAAAGAAACGGTCCACCAGCCCAGTTTAAGAAGAGGAAAGGATGGGAAATGGCAAGATGGGAAAACGACTCAGGGAGGGGTCCCTTTTTTGCCCAGGTTCTGAAGCCAACTGGTCCTATCTGACGTCCTTGTTCTGGTCCCCTCATCTCTCCAACGGACGGATTCGGTTAACGTAGCTTGATACTTTATGATTTCTGACAGCACCAATTGACTTTGCGGCCCTGACTTGCGCCACCATGGATGCGATTAAGGAAATGGATCAGCCAACAGGGAGCCGAGAAAATGGCGACATGAAGGAAGGGACCAGTTGACGCCATGTTCGGGCCCGCCTAGACTACAAGGCCCCAATGTGTTGGGGGTGAGCAGCCGTTCCAGGGATGAGGGTTAATGCTGACCTTTTAAAATTACTACCTTCTTCCGAAGAACTACGGAAGTGCAATAAGTTTGTGACTTGATGGCCGTGTATCAGATAACAGCCGTGAGATGCGTTGGCTTTTGGCCTGGCCTACCTCTCATCACGTCATCGTGGAGAGGCGCCACGAGTCGGCATGCGCAGACTAAAGAACGGACTAGGCGGTGGCCCCGATGCTGCTGGTGGCTCGCCCAATGGCCCTGCAATTGCAGAAGTCAACGGTCGTCTTGTACATATTGTTCGGCTTTGGAATAAGGCAGTGCTTCAACTGATAGAGCGGGACGCAAAAGGGGCTCAAAACGTTATGGGGCAATACTGAATTAAGGGCTCAAATGTCTGGTTGTTATAATTGGTCAAAGGACGACTGGACACCAATCGAGTCTGGTGGGCGTGCTTCCCAGCAATTGCTCTGTGGAAGTACCAGCAGGCCTGAGTCATTTGATGCGCCCCGAACCAGACAGCGGTTAACCGCTTTCGTCTGCTGCCAGGGTCCAGATCTCGTCAACTGATCTCAGATTAATGCAGCCATCGGATCCACTTGCAACCTACGGAGTAGAAGCGAAAAGCGAAATATCGATTCGACGTCGGGGTCCTCCATACGTAACAACGGGATCCGAACCTTGGATTTTACCACAGCTGAAGGGTAGAAATATGGACTTGGAGCACTCCAACTGTCCAGCCGGCCAGGTACGACACTATTGACATTGGACCAGGCTGTCTATGTGGCCGGGTGGATCCTACCTACCTACCATAGCGCGCTAAGGGGTTTTCTGGTGACTGTCCTCTGGCTGTCATCTATCACAGGATAGCTAAATAGAATTTTTTACTTTATATATGAGACTTTTAATAATTAATAATAATTTAAGACTTATCTTATAATAGTTATACTACTATTAGAATTAAGGGCCGCGCGCGTAGGTACCTACCTAAGTAGGTAATTAACACTTAATATATTACACTAGCAATTAAATTATTAGTAAACTAGGTCTATAACAATATCCTTTGTGAGGCCTTTTTTCATTATTATTAGGTCACTATTACTAAGGTGTAGTTATTATGAGACTTATACCTTATAGGATTTATTAGGTAAATATTCATAATAATATTTTAAGGTACATTGTAAGGTGGTTGGGGAACCCCGCCCACCTGCAACGCGATTGACAACGTCACGTGGAACGGGGGCTTCGGGACCATATCCCCTGCATCTCGCACAACTAGAAAATAGGATAAGCTTTAGTTATTACAATACAGCTACCCCTACTTTGGCTACCTGACTTCCAGTCCCTCTTACATACATAGTAAGATAGTTCTTTTTTTGCCGCGTCACGAGCTTCCCGTCAATCGTGCCAAAGCCGCTGTTGAAGCCGTTGAAGCTTATCGCGGGCCGCGATTCGCGGCCATCGTCAAAGCGCTCAAAAAAGGACTCAATTTATGATACGCTCCGCATCGCGTGCCACAGCTAAAAGAGCCTCGCGGTAATTACCCCAATACTTTAACTAGCGCTTATAGCTTTAAACATTACCAAGTAACTTTAGTTTCCTTAAATACTCAATAATTTTCTTATTAATTAATAGGTTTCTATAATATTAAAGAAAAAAAACGAGTTTAAAATTATATAAATTAACTCTTATAAGTTATAATAAGAGCTTATTTATAATAAAAATATTAAAATATATAATACTTAAACTTAAAGTTAATAATATTATAAGTAATAAGATTATTAATAATTTATAAGGAGAAACTATAAATAACCGTAAATTATCGTTAAACCCCGAATATCGCTAAGATACAGGATCGTTATAGACCTGATTTACTATACAAAGAAACGCTGACTTGGCCCAGTGGCCTTGTCCTCCCAGCACATATTGCATCAGGTGCCACACAGATATGCTTCCCTACCTAGGTAGGTAATTCGTTGGCAAGGCTTATATGAGTAACTGCCATATCCTCTGGGGTCGTAATGCTAATAATTGTTTGCATTCTTGCTTGCACGAAGTGTACTTACACTTCCACTCCCCCCAAAACATCTTGAAACACCTCGAAATTCCCTTCCTGCCGACTATCGAAAATTGCAAACCATACCTCCTCCCACCAGCCTCCCTGAAACTCCGCCTCGCGTAAAACCTCGAGCCAGCATTGTGCAACGTCCTCTTTTGGGTTTTTGAACGCGCCGCAGCCGAGGGCACCTAGAACAAGCAAGCCATGACCTCTGCGTGCCGCCATTCTGAGACAGAGCCTCATCTTGGCCTTGGTCAGCTCCCGGTCTGCGGGATCTGCGTATGTCAGTCTTACAAAGACGTTGCCTGATGGTGTTTTGCCTTGGAGGCGTTTTGTTTCGGGACATCGTAGAGCCGCAATACTCAACACGCTTACTACTGGGAGGTCTTGCACCGGGACGTCGGAGGTCAAGAGTTTATGGCCAGAGGGCATATCGGAACGAATGACAACAACATCGGGGGTATATATGCCCATGAGCTGCTTAAACGGATAGTAGCGGCGATGAAGCGATAATGATAGGGAGCTGCGATAGCAAAGCGCTTCTTCTTGGGCTCTGGCTCCTTGCAGCCATCCCCCGCCGGGATTCGCATGGCTTGCCATGTTGAGCACGGCAACCCGTCCGGCTGATGCAACAGGTTTAGAGGCGGCAAGTTTGATAGCTGCGTTGAATGAGTCGTCGTTTACTATTTTAATGGCGACTTTCCGACTCGAGGTGCGACGCGGGCACTCTGCAGCCTCGAGTGCTGGCAGGGTGCTAAGGTACAAGGCCTCGGACTTTGCTGCTTGTAGGTTGGGAAGCCTCTGTAAAATGTTGGGTAATACTATCATAGTTTCCTTGGCCACCGTTGCTAGATCCTGGCTCTGCCTGGAGCTCTGGTCGTACCTCGGTGCTTGTCCAGGCATGGACACAGCAGGTTGTAAGGTTAAGCGCTGCGAAGCCCCTCGCACGGTGGTCGATTTGGTGGATGATATTCAGTGGTCTAGGGGACCTTGGTCCACAGGCGACATGACAGCAGTGTCCTTCGTTTGTAGCGCAGCAGTTCTGATTGCGCCAAGTGAAATTCGAAATGCTGGGGGATAGAAAAAAGCTGGGAAATTGATGTTATGCCAAGGTTGAGGTTCTCGATATGTTTCTGTGGTGGGTGTGACCGACATAAGACTTGTCGCTCGTCATTCAGCCGTGGTGGGATTATCAGGCGCCTAATCATTCAGGCAGCGCCCCAGCTACAGTCTGGTCGCAGCAGGTAATCGTCCCTACCTGTGCGAATGGCTAGGTGCAGCAACGCCAGTTAGAGAGAATTATCATTCGCGATTGGCGACGTTGATCTCTGGTTTGCATGTGGCAGTCGACACTTCCGTCTCTTCTTCTTATGGAAACAAGTTGTCCCGTATAAATGCCTTCCCAGACCACACCACAACATTCTCAATGCTAAATAATAGTACATCTAGGCTTGCTTATCTAGGGGGTATCACTAAGCTATACAAGTATCCTCAGCTGCGCTCTTCACGCGTTCCCGTCCCTATGATAGTGAAATCATAATGAATTATTAGTCAGATCATTTGTGTGCTGCATCAGAAGCTGCATCTTCTTCTTCAAAGTTCCGGGGAATCAACCCTTCAGCCATGTCGATAGCTCCTTGCATATTGCTCTTGTTGAACAAGAACAGACCTTGAATTGCTGCCGTACTCGTCTGTCGTTTGGAAGGAGTGCCATCTGGGTTCGTGCCAAACAGTCCCAACTCATCCAGGCGACGTAGGAAGTGCTCTTTCCCAGAACCACTGTTGTCCTCATCGCCATAAAAACGATCCCACATCTTCCCGGCTTGATATTTAGTCGCTTCACCAATCCTGAGCATCATGTCCACACGACCAGGTCGGATCAGTGCTGGGTCTAGTCGCTCAATGTGATTCGTGGTGAGAAAGGTTATCCGCTCTTCGCCGGCCGCAACACCATCTAGCGCATTTAGTAGGCCGGAAAAGGTGACGCTTGCACCACTATACCCATCAGCATCACGTTGCCGACGGTTCACAAATGCAGCATCAGCATCTTCCAGGAGCAACAAGCACCTCTTAGGCAGCTTTGTCAGCAAGTACGCCAGTTTGTCGTCGGTCATACCCATTTCACTGAGGTTGATTGTGGCCACACCAAAGTCAAGTTCGCCCGCCAAAGCTTGGATGAATGAACTCTTCCCACTTCCTGGCGGCCCATATAAGAGATAGCCTCGCCTGTACGGGATCCCACGGTCTACATACCATCCCTGGCGGGAGAGAAAGTCTTTGACGTCCGCAACAATGCTTTCCTTGACCCCATCATCCAAGATCACGGAGCCAAGCGGCCTCTTCTTTCTGGGATCACCCAAAGGAGCCCATTCCATCCCTCGAGCCGAGTATACTACAGTTTTCC